TGGAAAAAAAACAAAAAAAAAAAAAAAAAAAAAAAGAAAGAAAGAAAGAGGTGGGGCTTGAAGCTGGGTGTGGTGGCGCACACCTGTAATTCCAGCACTCTGAAGAGGAGGCAGGAAGACCACCATGAGTTGGGGTAGGGGTGCTACACAGTGAGTTCAAAGTTAGCCAGAACTACATAGTGAGACCCAGTCTCAAAAAAATAGCGGCAGAGGGGGGTGCCTGGCTGCAGTCAGCTCTTTGGGCCATGACCTGGAAGGGTGTATTATTGTTCCTGGCCCCTCCTCCTTCTGCTTCTGGACAACCACAGGTTGAGGAGCTTTACTCTGCCATGCCATTTCTGTCCTGGAGCAAGCCAACCACGGCCTGAACACTCTGAAACCTCTCCTCCCTTAAACAGCAGTTATCAGGTATTTTGTTCCTTCAACAGAAAAGCTGACTAATACAGCAGCTGACCCCACTGCAGACACAAACACAAGGCTACAATCTTCTCCACAGTGACATACATTCCAGAATTCTGCCATTCAATCAAACCTGCTCAACAGTTAAGTGTAGACCCAGTATGATGGGGGCACACCTGCCAAGCAACACAATCACCTGAATGGTGGGTTTTACAAGAGCCTAATCACTGGCATAAGGAGGCAACATGACAAACCAGAGGGCCTCACCTGGGTCATGGGGGTCACAGTTCCTCCCTGTTCCTGGGGTCCTCCTGGGTAGTACTTACTTGATTTTCAGCAAGTGGAGGGATTTGCTAGAAGATGCTGTTATCTCTCCAGTCTTGTTTCTATTGATGTAAACTGAGAAGCCATTATTTTGGAAGCCAAACTCCTTTGCCACCTACAACAAATCCCAAAACAGAAGTTTAATGGAATATGTAGGTACCGTTATATATGCCACAATATCAGACACAACTTGAAAAACACCCATGTAGCCCAGAAACAGTCCCTCATTCACCAAATTCCTCATTATCTTTTACTCTTTTGACAAAATCTGTCCTCCTCATGAAAATGTCACTTCAAATAAGAAAAGTATACCAAAAGCAAAGGTCTTGTGTGACCGGTAAAGCTGCAGACACACTTAAGAGTTTGAAGAAAGAGTTGGGCATGGTGACACACAATATTTGGGAGGCTGAGGCACGAGGACTGCCACAAGTTCAAGGCCAGCCTGAACTACACAATAAGACTGGCTCAAAAACAGCAGTTTAAAGGAAGAATCACAGCCAGCTATTATCAAGCTGAAGCCAGGCATTGTGGGCACACAACCTGGAAAGGCTGAGGCAGGAGGATTCCAAATTTGACACCAGTTGGGTGTCAAACTTGACAAGACCCTGTTTCAAAAAAAAAAATTTTTTTTAAAGGGCTGGGAATGTAGCTCAGTGGCAGTGGCATACCCCTAGGTTCGATCCCCAGCATGGAAAAAAGAAATTCTCTTGAAGGGCTGGGTAGCTCAGTGGTACAGCATATGCTTACAGCATGCATGAAGCACTAGATTCCATTAGTATCACCGCCCCCCCACCCCCAAAATCTTAAAGACATAAAAACTGTCTTCTTTGCCAAGCATAGTGGCACACACCTGTGATCCCAGCATTGTGGGAGGCTGAGGTAGGAGGATCACAAGTTCAAGCCCAAAGAGGAATTTAGCAATTTAATGAGATCCTATCTCAAAATAAAAATGACTGGAGATGTAGCTCAGGTTAAAGGGCCTAAGTTAAATCCCTAGTATGAGGCCAGGCGTGGTGGCACATGTCTGTAATCCCAATAGTCAGGAGACTGAGGCAGGAGAATTACTTCAAGCTTGAGGCCAGCCTGGGCTACAAAGTGAGTTCAAGGCCAGCCTGGGCTATATAACAAAACCCTGTCTCAAAAAGACAAAAATCAATCAATCAATCAATCAATCAATCGATCAATCCCCAATACCACCAAGAAAAAAAAAGAAAGAAAAAGAAATTCTCTGGCCTCTATTGAGTATATTTGCGTCTCCTTTTGCTGTTTTACTTATTTTTTTAAAATAGGGCCTCACTATGTTGCTAGACTGGTCTTGAACTGGTGGGCTCCAAGGATCCTTCTGTCTCAGCCCCCTGAACAGCTGGGAGTACAGGCAAACACCACTGCTCCAGGTTTCCTTTTAGTGTTATGAATATTGTCCCTTAAGCACTGGGACTACAATCATGATAGCAATTATCTTTTAAAAGCCAAATATCAGAAATAAATTGTGGCTTCACCTATAGATTACTGGCTTAGTGAGATCCTCAGCAAATCTCTCTTTCACCCTCAACTCTTTTTTTTTTTTGTCTTTTTGAGACAGGGTCTCACTATACAGTTCAGGCTGGCGTTGAGCTCACTTTGTAGCCTAGGCTGGCCTCGAACTCTCAGCCTCCTGAGTGCTGGGATTACAGGCGTGTGCCACCATGCCTGCCCTTACCCTAAACTCTCTACCTTCATGAAAAACAAGAAATTGAACTAAACGACACTGAACATTCCCTCTTATTGTAGTGTACATTAAATATTAAATATTATCTATAACTTGCTCTTGCTTATGAAATAAAAGCAATACATTTTTATCACTACGAAGGTAGTAATATCTTTGCTATTAAATAAGATATGTTAGGGCTGGGGATATAGCTCAGTGGCATAAGCACCTGCCTGGCAAGCACAAGGTCCTGAGTTCAATTCCCGGTACCAATAAATAAATACATGCATACATACATGAAATATGTTAAACAGGAAACAGCAACCATTTTTGGTAGTTAGCTGGACAGTAGTATTTCTGGCTTTGCAGGCCACAGCATTTCCATACAACCACCAGCTCTATGCCTTTGTGGCTCACAAGCAGCCAGAGGCAATACAAAAACCTTGGTTCCAATAAATCTTTACTTACAAACACAGGAGGCTAACCTATGGAATGAAGTATAAAACAAAAGTCAGCCGGGCATGGTAATGTATGCCTATAATCCCAGCAGTCAGGAGGTTGAGGCAGGAGGATCTTTTCAAGTTGGAGACCAGCCTGCGCTATAAAGCGAGTTCAAGGCCAGCCTGAACTTCGCAGTGAAACCCTGTCTCAAAAAGACCAAAAAAAAGTTTTCTCCAAATTTCATTCTGAAATATTACTCTAGCAAAACAATTTCACACCTACCCTTGGGCTCTTGGTGCTATAATTTTAAACTGTAATCAGCTATGACCAACACCTGACCCACCAGTAATGCAGCCCAACTACAGAAAGAAAAGCCATGAAAGAGACAACTTGGGATCATGAGGAGGAGGAAAGATACAGATGGGAAGAGTGGAGTTGAACAAGAACCTGAAAAGTTAAAATGTCCACACCACAGGTACCTTTTTCAAAAACGTCGCAGCTGTTTCTCTCTTTGTTGCCGTGATCCGCTTCACCCCATCCGGGGACTGGACACGGATTATCTGTTGTAAATGAAACGAGACATTACCACATAGCCTGTCACAGTCCTGATCTGTTATTAAGACTCACATCGGCAGGCATTTGGCATCAGGGTCACAGTAACTGCAAACTAAACCTCACCCTTCCCTGCAATACCCAATTCAATCTTTCTAGTGGAAGAAGTGAGGACCAAGGTTCAATACATGGTTGTCCTGACTTGAAACTCTTATAGTTTCATGCAGAAAAATAAAGCTTTGATGATTAGTCATTAAAGAGTACAGGGGCTAGGAATTTAGCTCAGCGGCACAGCGCCTGCCTGGCAAGCGCGAGGTCGTGAGTTTGATTCCCAGTACCGAAAAAAAAAAAAAAGAGTACATTTGAAATGCTCCCCCTCTCCTTCAAACTTAAAGAAAAACAAAACAAAACCCCATCATGAATCATGAATGACTGGGTTCTTTACAAAAAGATCTCAGGCCAGGCAGAAGAATCACTGTGAATTTGAGGCCAGTCTGGGCTTCAGAGAGACCCTGTCTCAAAAGGCCAAAAAGAGGGAAGGGAAGCGAGCTCAGTGGCATAAGCGCCTGCCTGGCAAGCACAGGTCCTGAGTTCAATGCCCAGTACCAAAAAAAAAAAAGAAACAACAGTAAGTGCTTATCAAAAGGCCAAAGAGAAAAATATCTCATTTTGTTCCACAATCTATATATAGACCTTTTTTTTTTTTTTTTTTTGTGGATACCAGGAATCCAACTCAAGACCTTGCACTTGCCAGGTGCTGTGCCGCTGAGCTATACCTGTAATCCTAATAGACATTATAATTAGACTGACAGAAAACAATCACAGAAAATCTTCTAATTTGTTATTTACTTTTAACAGAAAGATTAGTATAAGTGCTGCCAAAGCCAGCACTTAACAGAAAGATTAAAATTAAAGAGATAAAAGTCTTTAATATTATGGAATTTTTTCTGGAGTTTTAAAATAATTTTTTCTTGGCAGCCCTGAACTTTTAAAGGCTCCATTTCCTAGGACCAGATTTTTACATTGCTGGAGCCCTTCTGAAGGTGTGCTGCTATGCTGGCCAAACGTACCAACCTTGCTGTAGTCAGGGAGCACAAACACCTCCTGCTGCAAACCAGGAAGCTGCTGCCCAACCATGTGAAAAGTTGGAGGGGAGACATACAGGATTATGCCAGAAAATGCTCACACTGTAGTTACACCTGACAGTGTACTGTACTCAATACTATGCAGACGAAAAATATCACGAAACGTTTTAAAAAAGATTCTGCGCTGGGCATGGTGGTACATACAGGAGGCTGAGGCAGGAGGATTGCCATGAGTTCAAGGCCAGCCTGGGCTACCCTGTCTAAAAAAAAATTTTTTTTAATTTTTTTTTTTTTTAAAAGATTTCTAATGGGCATGGGAGCACAAATATGTAAGTCCCCCATTCTGAGAGCCTGAGACAGAAGGACTGCAAGTTTGAGCCCAATCTGGGCGATGTGGCCAGATCCTGTCTCAAAAAAAAGAGGGGCAAGGTTGGGCGTAGTGGTGCACTCTTGTAATCCCAGCACTCGGAAGGCTGAGGCAAGAGGATCATTGCAAGTTCAAGACCAGCCTGGGCTACAAAGTGAGCTCAAGGCCAGCCTGAACTGTACAGAGAGACCCTGTCTCAAAAAGACCAAAAAAAAGGGGGGGGTAGGGTGAAGGATACACTTCAGTGCAAATACCCTGAGTTCACATACTATAAAAACAAAAAGATTACTACGTACTAATACACTACAAAACACCATAGTGACATATGTTTACTGAATCTCGTCTACTTTAATGAATAACCTAGATTTTCCTAAAATTGTACAACTCTCTCTTTTTTTTTTTTTTTTTTGGTCTTTTTGAGACAGGGTCTCACTGTACAGTTCAGGCCGACAGTGACCTCACTTTGTAGCCCAGGCTGGCCTCAAACTTGCAAGGATCCTCCTGCCTTAGCCTCCCAAGTGCTGGGATTACAGGCGTGCGCCACCATGCCCAGCCCACTCTCTTTTTCTAATAACTATCATTTGGCTCTGCCTCTTTTGTTCTCAGCTTTTAACATTTTGTTCTGAATAATCCTTATGAATATCCCCAATTTGGGGATTGTTTTTCATTTTTTTTTTTTTGAGACAGGTTCTTGCTGTGTAGCTCAGATTAGCCTTGAACTCCCTATGTAGCTCAAATTGGCTTCAAACTCATAGTGATCCTCCTGCCTCAGCCTCCCAAGGGCTGGGATTAGAGGCATGCAGCACCATGCCTAGCCAGAATATCCCAATTTTTAAAGCATGTAGGGCCAGGAATCTAGCTCAGCTGCACAAGTGCCTGCCTGGCAGCTTTGTATAACTTTTCACTTCTTAATCACATGTTTATTTTCTCACTTTGCACACTGATCCATGTTAAGTGGAAATACAAATCAATTCTTCTGATTTCTAGCACTCTTCATTATGGATTCAATACCTACGAAAAATGTTTTCATAATACACAACATTAGGTAAATATTTCCACTTTTGTTCTGAAATCTGTCTCCAAAATTGAGGCATATTAAAAAGTGAACAACTCTGTTTCTCTGAATGGAACCACTTGCAAATGTGACTGCTAGTAACCACTGAAGAACAGGAGCACTCTGACTCCATTGAATGGAGGCAGGTCACATTGAGGAGTTCAGCACAAGTCATCCTCTACCATCGTGCATATGAGTCTAGATTTTTTTTGCGGGGGTGGGGGGACAATGTCTAATTATGTAATTCAAGATGGTCTCAAACTCAGTGATCCTCTGGCCTCAGCCAGGGAGTGCTAGGACAGGCGTGCGCTACCACACCCATATAGGAGTCTGGATTTAACAAGAATATAACTTTTCCTACGGAAAGTTCTGGCTTGGCTTTTAATATAGGCTACAAAATAAAATGTACCACTAGAGATAGACCTGTCCATATGGAACATAGCCTCTTGGTAACTTAGGTTTCCCTATATGTAAGAAAATTAGAACCAAATATGGTGGCACTTCCCTATTAATTACAGCACTGTGGGAGGCTGAAGCAGGAGGATTGCAAGTTTGAGTCTAGCCTGGAGAATTTGACAATGTAGCAAGACCCTGTCTCAAAATTTTAAAAATTAAAAGGGCTAAGGCAGGAGGCTGAGACAGGAGGATCATTGTGAGTTTGAGACCAGCCTGGGCTACAAAGTGAGCTCAAGGTCAGCCTGAACTGCATAGCAAGATGTCTCAAAAAGACAAAATAAAAGGGCTAAAAATGTAGCTCAGTGAGAAGGCCCTGCTTCAATTCCCAGCACTAAAAATAAATAAGAAGGAAGTCTGGAAAGAAGGAAGGAAGGAGTGGCAGGAGGATTGGGAGGGTGAGAAAATTAAGTCAGCCACAGTGACACCTAACTGTGGTCCCAGTTACTTGGAAGGCGGAGGCAAGAAGAACTGCTTGAGTACAGGAGTTCCAAGATAGCCTCAGCAACACAGACCATATCTCAAAGAAAAAGAAAACAAGAGCAGGAAACTTCTTGATGTTTTGGAATTGTAGCAAGATACAAACCATTATCCCCACATAAACTTTTTTTTGTCCTGGGGATTGAAACAAGGGCCTTGTCAAGCCTTCTATCACTGAGCTACACTCCCAGTCCCTTTTTATTTTCAAACAGGGTCTTACCAAATCACCCATGCTAGGTAGGCATGGTGACACACATCTGTAATCCCAGCACTCAAGAGGAAGAGGCAGGAGGATCACTGTGAGTTCAAGGATAGCCTGGGATACATAGTAATTCAAGGCCAGCCGAGATTATATAGCAAGACCCTATCTAAATCAATCAGTCAAACAGGCTGGCCTCAAACTTGTGATTTTCCTGCCTCAGCCTCTCAAATAACTGGGATTGCAAACATGAACCACTAAACAGGGCCCAAAGAATTTTTTAAGACAACACTCTAAATTTAAAAAAAAAAAAAATGTTTTTCTTCAGAAATAAATTTCAGAAGGTCTGTTTTAATTTCCCACAACCTGAGAAGTTCAGGGGCTAGGGATTTAGCTCAGTGGCACAGCGCCTGTCCGGCAAGCACAAGGTCGTGAGTTCAATCTCCAGTACTGGAAAAAACAAACAAACAAACAAAAAACAACCTGAGAAGTTCAACCAGAGTCTTAATCCTGTCCAGGAAAACCTACCTCTGTGCACACTAGTGAAAAATGGCCCTGTGGGTAAGGACTCACTTGTGTAAGGTTGCTTTAAGCCAGTAAAAATTACTGAAGTAGGAAACCTGCTTTGTTTGAGAGAGGGTCTCTCTATGTAACTCAAGCTGGCCTTGAACTCCCAGCGATCCTCCAGCCTCAGCCTCCCTGAGCGCTCAGATTGCAGGCATGCGCCACCACACCCAGCTAAAGTAGAAAATTTGAAGGCAGATCTGAGTACTGACTCCTAATCTATTTCTAGGCAAGATTTTAGAGACGGTGAGCTTTCTTTCCTTATTTTGAGGCAGGGTCTCCTGAGTGCTGGGATTACAGATATGCACCACCATGCTGGGCTAGTGAGCTTTATGTGTGTGTGTGTGTGTGTGTGTGTGTGTGTGTGCGCGTGCGCTTTACTTTTAATAGGAGTCAGCCTTCCTGAGGTTTCTCTTGGGAGTGTACTCATTCCACTCTTCTCCAGCCTGGGAAACAGACAGGGGTCAAGAGGACCCTTAAAAGGAAGCGCTGAGGAAGAAGGCCCGCCCTCAGAGGGAAATCTTAAACACAAGAGCTGCATTTTCCTGGAAACCTAAGGTACCCAGAAAGCACTGAAGGCTTCCAGGACAGTTGCCACAACTGGAGACTGTCCTGGGCTTTGGCATGCACATTACTTGCCACCTATTACTGCTGTGCTATTCAAGAAATCCCAAATACTCCTTAACAGGTTGACCAAAAGTCTTCTGTCCAACCAGCTTGTTAGTTTTTCCTCCAGCCACATTTACTTTGGAGGAGAAACTTCACAAGTGATTCTCTCTGATTTTTCCCTGATGTTTTCCACTGTGAGGGGGCAGGGGAGTGTGACGATTCTAATGTCAGGTAAAGTGACATCAACCTTAGTCACCATACTACTTCTAAACAGGAAGTTCTCCCCGCACCAAGGAGCCAACCCAGCCAGGGAATGTCTGTCCCCCACCCAGTCCCGGCCGCTTATTCGGAGAGGGGGTTCCTCAAGGCTGCCCCGCGCCCCGATGGCTCTCCCGGAGTGACTCTGGACAAGGCCCTGCCAGTATCGGGGAGGTGGCGAGAGGGCCCAGAGGGCAAAAAAAAAGGACGCCATCGGCTCCGGGCCACGGGGAAGGCCGGGGTCGGCGGGTGGGCAGGAAGGGACTCCTCACGCCTGCCCGACTCGCGCGCCAGGGCACCGACCGCCAGAAGCCGAGGGCGAGCGCCAAAGAGCCGGCCAGCGCCGGGGACGTCGCGCGCGGCCCGCCCAGGACGCCGGCAAATCTGCTGCCTCATCCCAACGCCCCGCTCCAGCCTGGCCTCCACACTCACGATGCTCTCGGCCATGGCGGCCGCTCCTGCCTCCGGGCTTGGGCCCCGGGTCGCCGCCGCCTGTAGCCCCACGGCCCTCACAGCACCGGCCCCGGCCTCAGCCCCGGCCTCTCGCCGTCGCCGCCACCGCCGTTACAGCTTCGCCGCCCGGCTCCTCCAGCAGACGACGTCCGGTGCGTCTCCCAACACTATCCTCCGGGTGCTTAGCCCTGAAACCAGGTTCCGGCCCAGCCAATGGCCCTGCCAACGGCTGCGAGCATGCGCATACTTCGCCGCCTGGGAACCGCCCCCGCCCCGTACCACCCCGCACTGCCGCGTGAGAGAGATCGTGTTTGCTGACTGAAGCTGTGCAGGACGAGAAACTGCCCTTGAACCCGGAATCCTGTGGGGAAACCCTCAGAAGAATCGAGCATCCGAAATTTCAGCCCAAAATGCAGTTGGTGTGTTCTGTTTGGGGAAAAGCACTATCCCAACGAATTTAAACTGCATTTTGAGTATGTGTGCCTTAGGACCTGCTTCAACACAATCCACCTGCCGCTGGGAAGGTCAGAGGCTAGATCAAGATGCTGCTGTCTTGACACATTAAAATACTCCAACAAAGAGCTCTGCCTTTTGCACAAGGCCCGGCGAGTTCTGTAGCCAGCTCACCTGTGATGGCGAAAACAAATTATGAAAATCTCTAGGAAACTAAAAGCTACACATTTTAACATCATAGTTCGATTTCAGATTGCGTTGATTTAAAACTGAGGAAATTATTATTTTTATTACCTCCCATCCCCACCTCTTATTTTTTATTTTCTTGAATTGCTCTCGCATCGCTTCTCGGCCTTTTGGCGAAGATCAAGTGTTGACTTGCTCTCACAATGTCTGTTTTGATAACACATACTATTTATAACTTACACTTCTGCAGTTATCTAAATTTGGCTTATCTGTTCCATCAACAAAGATTTACCAACTGTTCATTTTATGTATGGCATGACTCTTACGCTGATGATGAAGGAGAAGGGAGGCAGTCCTCTGCCCTCGTGGAATTTACCAGCAGGCAGATAACTTGCAAAGATGTGCTGCCAGGTCTTGGTAAATGCTATGCAGGCAACCAAAGCAAGGAGGGCTAAGGACATGACAGTAGCTGTTTTAAAATTATATTGTCAGGACTGGGATACAGCATTTGTTTGAGACCCTGCATTGAATCTCTAGCACACAGTCATAAAAAAAGATGGTCAAGAAAGACTTCTCAGGAAGGGAGGTTGAAACAGGGTCCTAGATGAAGTGACCTATGCAGATTCCTGAAGGAGGAGTGGTGTAAGATGAAGGAAACACAAGTATAAAGATCCAGGGCTCTGAGACATACTTGGGTGATCCAGAGACAAGTGGCAAATAAATCTGGAATACAGTTGGGGTATGGTATCCAGAGGAGTAACATCCAATACAGAAAGCCTTTGACTCTATTCTAGACACAGTGGAAAGCCTATGAAGGCTGAGAGTAGAGACGAGCTCTGTTCTACTTTTGAAGGATCCTTCTTGAGGATGAATGGAGGAAGATAGGAAAGCCAATGCAACAGTCCAAAGGACAAATGGCAGTGGGAGCAAAGGACCAGAGGTGGCTGGAGCCAGGTCAAGTGTTGGAAGATTGATAGCGTCTGATGGACACCGATTGGAGTGCTGGCTGAAGGTCAGCATTCAGAGATGGGGTCATGCCGGG